AACCTGGTAAATTCCAGGGGGGTCCTGAACCCCCCCCCCCCCCCTCTAGATCCGCGCATGCAAACAACGCATGCAAAAAAAAAAATCGATACTCTATCGACAACATCTTGAGTCAGTTTGCGCACTCCAATATCGAAGCTGTTGAAACGCTCTCATTCAGGATTCCGATCTTTCCAGAGTTTTCCTTTATGCCCTTTCTTACTTCACGGACTATTAATATGCGCAACTGGCGTAGCCTCAATAGCGGAAGTCAATGAACTGCATCTTGTTCTCTAAATTATATAGAGATTCATCTTTTTTACATTCTTGACTAGTCTAGCTGTTCAGTGTGCCATGGCGGACAACGGAAACAAGCGAAAAGTAATGATCGCTATGGATGGAAGTGAATACTCCGAGGGGGCACTGAAATGTAAGTCTCTTTCTAAAATACTATCATGAATATAAATGATATGTTTACATTTATGTTTTCTAGGTCATCAATAATTTAAACAACTACGATGGATTATACAGGGTGTTTCACAATATATGTCACACATAGACTGTATAACAACAAAATACACACACATTTTATATATCATTTTAATTGGCATATATTCAAAATTATTTTTTTTTAGCATACAAAATCCACCACCTCAGACTATGGCAACAAATTAAAATGTTATCAGTGCCTAAAATATTTCAAATATTTACACGTTTATAAATTTCTGGTACTGTTTTGTAAGTTTCACAAGAAACTTTTCTTGTTTTATATCTGGCTTTTAAAACAAAGTGCATGATCTATTTTTATTTAAAGTTGCATTTAAATAAATCAGGCCTAAAATGTGTTAATTGGTGTCAACTTATTTACTTCCTTTCAGTCAATCTTGCAAACTTTTATGCTCTGAATTTCATTTGACTTTAAAAAATTTTGTATGCAGTGATACTTAACTCAAATTTAAGAATTCTAAATAAAACACATAGCATTGTTACAACATCTTCCTAAACTCAGATCTGAGAGGTTTTCTCAATGATTGACTTCACTCTGATATCTTCTCAAATATTTTGGGGGTGGGTTAGGGTTGAAGAGGAGGCAGGGTTTAACTGTCTTTCATCTTTACATTATAATTTAATTTAAACCCTCTAATAATTCTTAATAGAAGAAAAGTAGACAGTAATTTCTGGTCTCTTTATATTCAATTGAAATATATAAATATAACGGTTCTTATAATAAAAAATTACAACAAATTTTTGCTGCAAGTTTTACGTATATAGCTGAAATATGACATACCGATTATATCATCAGTTACTTCCTGGTTTATTATAATTTTGATATTTTGCAACATAATAATTTTAATTAAATGCTTAACTATAGTGCACATACGATATTCAGATTATGCCCCTTTAGATGTGTGACATATAGTGTGAAACACCCTGTATGTGACATAACTGTATATCTATAATCAGAAATGCATATAGTATACAATGCTGAAATGAGGCTTAAATCAGGCCTAAAATATTTCAATATTTACACCTTTATTCAAACTGTAAATCTATGATCAGAAATGCGTATAGCATACAATGCTGAAATGAGGCCTAAATCAGGCCTAAAATATTTCAATATTTACACCTTTATTCAAACATGCTGTTTTGGCAAAATTTTCAATCAGTGATACAAGTCCTAATTAAAAAGACATACATTAACATAAGGGAGAGTCAAAGCATGTCTTTAAAAACGCTGATAAGAGTACAGTACAGTGTATATATAGCATGTTTACTGTGACATTCTGTAAACTAAATGGACAACCTATATTCAATTGTTCAAATATAATCGATTGAGCACACCTTCCTCTTTTTTAGGGTTTGTAAAAAATCTGTACAGAAAAGATGAGGATGAAGTCATTGTATTTTTTGTCCTAATTTACATTATTATTTTAATTTTGTTTCAATCAGTACAAAAGTCATAAACTTGTAAATCATTCCCTATTTGAAAATGCTGTGCTCATGATGTAAAATTTGTTTCAATTACAAAGAACTAGGAATTTTTTCCGTGATGACATTTTTTGTTAATTTACTTATTATTTTAATTTTCTGTTGTGCCTTTTGTTTTTGTTTCCTCATTTATTGGTGTGAAAAGTTGAATTGCATCAAATTTCGACATTATATTTTTTTTCCGAAAGTTAAAAAAATGTAAGGAGCTACAAATGTTCAAATGTTGCAGTCTTTGTCTGCTCCATCAGGTTTTTATTTTTTTTCCTTTAGTCCAAAACTGAAAAATTGCAAATATTTCTTTATTCAAAAGTGAGTCACTGATCTTCAACTGACCTAAAACATGATAAAACTATTTAAAACAACGGAAAAACTTTACTGGTCAATTAAATCAACGCAAATAAATAAAAACAATTTATAATGCCGCATGTTTCTAATGTGGAATATTTTTATTAGAAATTAAAAAATAAAGCCGCTGAAAGGTACTTAGAGAAAAAAAAAATTGTCAAGTGCCCTTTTCTTATGTAAGCTCTAAACTTCGTCTTAATTGCCTTCTTGTATATTATCGTGTTACTCAGTAACTTGTGATTTTTTAGTCTTATCTTTCCTGTGATCCGCTTTATATACAATACTGAATCAACTGTATGATACATTCAGATGAAAATTATCATTAAGGAACATTACAAGCTGAAAGGACGATGAAATATGCTCACTATTAATATATATTTTCTCAACTGAGAAACAGAAAAAAGAGAAATATTTTTCCTATTTTGTTAATTTGCAAAAATCTGAATCCGAAGTTCCTTTCTGTTAAAAATGTTATTGATTTGGTTTACCCATGCGCTTGAAAAGTATAATATATAACATATGCTTTGTTCTCAAAAACACATTCAAAGGAGATTATAACTTATCAAGATAAATAAGCATGGAATGAGAGTATGCTAGGGGCCTAGAACAAATTTTACAGTCATTCTGCACACGATTGCGAATAGAATTGAAAGAAGCATAACTTAAAGACATGGTTTGATACGTTTTCATTCTAGAAAACAAGCAGAACAAGATGTGTTTGTGGAACACTATGCGCCCGGCGGCAACAAAGTTTGGAAAAAACTATTTTAGTATACAGGTCACAGTCAAGGTCACAAGGTCATTGACCTTAGTGTCATTTGAAAGAACTTGATTAATGGAGTATGCATACCAAATATGAAGACTCTATCTCTAACGATTCGAAACTTATGGCGAAGGTGCAAAACGCTATTTTTAGCATATAGGTCACAGTCAAGGTCACAAAGTCATTGACCTTATTGTGATTTGAAAGAATTTAATTAGTGGAGTATGCATAGCAAATATAAAGTGTGTATCTCTCATGGTTCAAAAAGTATGGTGAAGGTTCAAAAATGCTATTTTTAGCATATAGGTCACAGTCAAGGTCACAAGGTCATTGACATATGTGTCATTTATAAGATCTTAATTGATGAAGTATGCATACCAAACATGAAGTCTCTATCTTTCAAGATTCAAAAGTTATGATGAAGGTTCAAGTTTGCAGACAAAGACGCTATTTTTAGCACGAAAGTCACAGTCAAGGTCACAAGGTCAATGAACAATGGTCACAATGGTATCATTTGAAAGAGTTTAATTAGTGGAGTATGCATACTAAATATAAAGTCTCTATCTTTCATGGTTCAAAAGTTATGACGAAGGTTAAAGTTTGCAGACAAACAGAAAAACAAACAGATAAGCAGATAAACAGACACACAGGACAAAAACAAAATACGCCTCGGATCTATCGATCCAGGCGCATAAAAATATAATTCTTCATGAAATTAGGTACACAATGCATTACTATTCCTTTTCCCTCCAACTCCATTTCCTTTTGTTTGCCTACCTGTACAAGTATACCATGAAGTGTAGAGTGTACCAGTAGATACAACTGTACCCATTAATTATTCAAATATGTAAACATGTATAAAATATAGTTACTCAATTATGTGTGCATTGTAAATTTGCACATTTTTCCTTATAATGCTCTGTTTTGGTATACATAATATTATGATAAACTATATTAAAAAAATCAATGTCATGCAATAAATTAATTTGTAAAAACCATTACTGTAAACCAACTTTTATTCGCGTGCGAGAAATTTTCGCGAAGTTCGCGAGAGCCTCGTCATCGCGAATATTTCTCGCCGCGAACCGGTTCTTAAAGTCTATGTGTCTATCAAAAAGAAATCTAAATAGGCTTTTCCGCGAAAATTAATCGTCGCGAACTGGTTTACCCCCGGCAAATCGCGAAATAAAGTCGTCGCGAATAAAAGTTGGTTTACAGTAAATTGTTTGGGAATACCTATTAATGTTCATGTTTAAGGTTGGATAGTATAAACCATATAGTTTTTATAGCAAAATTTGCAACCGAATCAGTAACGATAAGTACTACCTTTCTGTTCTCTGAACAGTAAAAATTACACTATTTCGCTTAGTGTAATGCGATGAAATATGTTATTTGAAGACTTGGGATTTCTTCAAATATTCAAGCTGTCAATGTTTGCAATCGTTCATAACATACTGGCATATGGTGTTGTATGAGTGCATTAATAGAACATATTGCATGTAGATGGAAGTTAATATAACAAGCATTCTGATAGTATTGCATTAACAATAGTGAATAGTAGTCCTCTACCAGCAATTGTAGTCTGTTACCCATTAAAAATTGAAATGCAATAATTCCGTCAAAAATCATTAAAGAGGCTCAAAATGCGAACTTGATCTGTTACTCAGGGAAAACCAACTCGCCAAAATTCAGCTCAATATCTCCAACCATTGAGAAAAACATTTAATTAAAACTCGATTGTATTATTGATTTTTGCAAGAAAATTGACAGAAAAGATGTTTTGACACATTTGTACAGTTATAATCACATTATAGAAGCTTCTTACGTATGATAACATACTAGTATAGCCTATAGTAATGTTTGATTTAAATTGATTTACTTAAAAAACATCAGCGCATTGATGAAGTCGTGTATAATGTAGAAACGTTTCCAGTTGCTTTCATTTCTTCAAAAATCGTTATCAGAGTCACTTTTCTAATATTGAATATCCTCATCATTATAGCGTGTAAAAACCTGGAACATATCAGAAAATGTATATAATTACTTTCATATCATTCAACCTGATTGGCAAAAATGTTTTTTGGTCTTAACTGTTGTGAGTTGTTGGAAAATCATTTATGAGTTGATATAATGCCTGAACATAAGTTTTCTGTTATCAGTGGAGTGCAGCTGCAGCTTTCTGCTGCTGAAGTTATTTTCATTACTTCTTCTTTCTATGACATGCAATATTTCACCCATATGTCTTTTATCAGCTCCCTGGATGCCTGTTGATCCAGCACTCATCACTCTGGCATTCCAAAAGGAAGAGGAAAAGGCCAAAATCACAATCAAGAAATTGGATGCAATTATTATGGATGCTGGGGTACTATTATTTTTTGTCCAATTAAAATCTCCCTCTTGGCTGCTACTTTGTTGTCCTGATAAAATAAGGTTGAATAGTATCCTTTTCGGTTCAAAATTTTTTCTGAAGAACAAGTAAATGTCATTTTAGCAAATGTACCATTCCAAAAGGGCAATTACTTCATGTATTAATAACTAAAAATTACCTAAATAATTAATCCAATTTTAAGAATGCAAACAATATAAACTGTCTTTATTCTCATTTCCTTCAGCTTTCTAGTCATTGAAAAAATCAATATTAATGTCACCACTATAATCAGCAACTTATTTTATAGCTCCAAGCCAACGTTGTTAGAGCGCACGGCAATCCCGGGGAACAGATAGTCAAAAAGTCGGAAGAACTTGGAATCACCATGATAATTATCGCCTCGCGTGGACTGGGAACGATCAGACGGACTATAATGGGGAGTGTCAGCGATTATGTGGTCCACCATTCGTCCATACCAGTTGTCGTATGTCGTAATTAAAACACGCATTTACCAGCTAAATCAGGGATGTTTTTTTCAATGTGTTCAAGACACATTTCTATGTGTTCAAAACACATACCAGTGCCATTTTTTTATGTCAACATTCTATGTTGCAATGCCTTTGGACTTGTAATGACTATTACTTATATGTCCCTAAAATTGCAAAGATACATCAATAAAGCATCAATTAGTATGAACGTATGGGTGAATTTTTTTTTTTTGGAAAAATTTTAACTGCCAGTTGTATTTGAGGAACACATTTATGCATTCTTGACTACTTTGTCACAGTAAAATCGTCATAAGTTACTACATAGAAATGTGAAATTTCATAAGCCACGTTTTTCAAACAGTTTTATCTTTCTTGTGTATTTGTTTCATTTGTTTTTGTACCTAATGGTTTCTTGTTGAAAGGAAGTTTATCTTAATTTTTTTGTTAATTTGTCTTATTTTTATTGATGAAAATGATTATAGCAGTCTTGAGAAATAAAAAGTTTTTTATTGCTTGTTTGTTTGTATCTTGTTTAATGTCCCTCTCGAAATTTTTCACTTATAGGAGACACGACCACTTGCCGGTGGAGAACTGAAAATTTTGTACAATACTCGACAATAACGGTCAGCATCTTTGACAAAATGTTTGCTTTCCCTGTCCTGACTAAGCTTTGAAGGTCAGTTGGATTTTTATCTTAAGATACATGTTGACGAAATGAGAAATTCGGGAATGAAAAGAAAAAAACGTTAATGAATCTACATAGAAGTTTTTAGTCGGGTCTTTTTTTAGCCAGGCGGTTGTATGAGGGCTTTTAACAAACGAAGATTTAAAGATGGCATAATGGGACAGTTACATTTGAGTTAAGGATTGTTTTGTAGCGCCCTATAGTTATAGGACACATAAAACATTTGCTTAAATAGGTCGAGATTTATAGTGATATATATATAGAGAGAATTCGAACAGTATTCAACATCGAAAGTCCATTAAACAATACAAAAATAGGTGCAGGGCAAACACGGACCTCCAAAAAAAAATCAGAGGTTGGATCTGGTGCCATGAAAGAGTGAGCATTCCATGTCGACTGGTCACACCCGCCGTGTGCTATTTGTCATGTTCGGGAAATAAAGAAAAGATCCGTCGACAATTCAGTGTATATATGATGGCCCAACTATAAGTATGGAAAACGTCAGTCAGCGTTTAACTAAATGATAAATTGTATTTGCTGACAAGGTCATTGTAACGACAATAGATGACCTTTAATGTCACTGCTGATATTCTTGTTTCAGCAACTTGTCTATAAATAATTTATTTCGTATTAGAAATTGTTCATATACATAGAGCATACTCATGCGAATCGAATCAACTGAGAGATACAAACGCCTTATGCAGTTAATGAAGGTATATTGCTGCATAAGTAAGGGAAGTTGACAATTGAAAAGTTAAAGTCATCATGTTTATCATAAAGCTTTGCAGTTAGATAAACCATTGTTGTCCTTTCAAAGTCAATCATCTTAATATGAAAGAGATGTTTGATTCAAGCTCTCCGGGACAGATATTTTCAATCAGAAACGCAAGCACCTTTTTAATTACAACTTCAGAGTGCAAGTGTGTACAATCTAAATGTTTTCAACCGAATAATATAGCAAAATTAATGACCAATGACAAGGTAAGTCATTTTTATTGAAAAAGCAGATTTATTTTTAGGAATGGTTGTATTTAGAATAGTCGTTTGTTCGTATGCTGTTGGATTTTGTTAAAAATTTGCGATTTAAAAGAAGAAGGTACAGTATGGGTGTTATTGTGCCCTAATTATTTAATGTTCTTAAAAAGTTATGAAATTGGCTTTAACAAAAGTTGAGTAGATGAATATGATAAATCATTAAAGAATATGGCATGAAGGAGGACCATTCTGGAAATATGACGTCACTTATTTGGTACATTTCTAAATCTAATGCAGAAAAGCCTATAAGAACGACTCATTTTTGTGCTAATTTTCCTTTAGAAAATAGTGTCTGCCATCGTCGCCCGCTTCAGTTTTTGGATATATTATGTAAACTGCTTTGAAAAATCATGTCTCAAAATCTTTATAGGCGACGGTGGCAGAGTATGTTTTGTGGAAGAAAATTGATGTCTTCTGCAACCCTTTAAAAGACGGGAAAATGCACAAGTTAATGACGTCACAAGTAGCATTTAGGAAGTCATATGAGTAAATATTTACATTCAGTTTAATTTTCCTTATGAAATCCATTAGAAATCTACGACGTTCAAATTTCTATATTTGCATATCCACTGCTCTCTTCCACTATGAACATGCAGCCATCAATTGTATTCATAGGACTATAGACGCAATTGCTTCTGCTATGAGTGCAATTGTTCTATCTCACTCGTGTAGAACAAGTTCTACTACACTTATACCTCCTGTTTAGAAGTATATATATGAAGTGTTTTGTAAAACCACTAAATATAAGTTTTTAATAATATTTTTTGGAAAAAAAGGAATTCAGAACAATTTAAAATTGCTGATTTGATATCTTTAAAAATTTAATTTTGGTCAATGTATTTAATTGTAATATGAAACTTTTTAAAAATTGAATAGAACTCCATATTTTTATTTTTTTATCATGCATACTTGTACAAAGAACGATAACTCTTCACACTTGGGTAATAATATTCAAAAAGAAAATTTCTTTAACTGGTAGATCTAGATCTATATCAAGAAAAAAAATAAGAAAACGTACCAAAAAAAATCACAGAAAAGCATACTGGAGCAATAATCATTATAAAAGCATTCTCATATTTATCATAGTGTTAAATTATTGATTTTTGTCAGAGGATTTCAATAACGTTGATCGATGACGTCACGACTGCATCAAAACAAAAATTAAGAGAATGCGATGACGGCGCTGCTTATATCCAGATAACTGTGTTTGAGAGGGAAATACTTTATAAATTGTGATTTATTAGAGAAAGGAGTACTGATCAGGTGTACTGGTTTTAAAGCTGTATGGTTTTCTTTACTGAAGACAGAAGAAGCTGCGTCCAAGGTTATGTAAGTAGGAATAATCGATTATTTTGAACATGGCAAATAGCTCTGCTGGCATATTTTCCATGATGCGCTAGCGCGCATCATGGAATATGAGGGCAATGCTACTTCATAACGCCATGTTATTAATAACTAAAAATTACATAACACACGCGAAACCATGACACCGCGCATTTGAATACACAGTAGGAACTATATGCATTTTCTTTACTCAAGGAACACAAAAATATAACATGTTTTATTTCAATTTTATGAAAAACTATAACCCTGAAAAATTAACTTTAAAAATTAATCAATAAGAATTAATTTGTCACCCTCGCAATGTTTGTTTGCGTTATTTAACTTTAACGTCATTTAACGTCATTTGAACTTATTACATTATTACCCACGGCAGTTTTGAAGGGCACTAAATCCACATTTAAGATTAACGAAATGAGCAATTGTGAAGAAGGAAAATTAGTGAATGTAAATATAAGCGTTGAATTCATATTTTTGGTTGTCTTGGAATAACACACCATGACAAAATTACCGCGCTAACGCGCGTTTTTCAATTTGTCGGCACGGCCAGGTGTGTTATAGGACCGAAGACATCCAAAAATATGAATTCAATGCTTAAAACGATTTGTGTATTTTTATTGCATGGAATTCCTATGATTCAGAAAGAACGAATTTTAATTTCTTATATCACTTTCATATTTTTGAAAAATACAAGGCTTAATTTGTATCGAAACTGTACCTTGATATTTCCCACAAGTTCCTTTTAATTTTTATAAGTATCCGTATCTGATTTAATCCTCTTCTCCAACATATTGTTGCACAGTACTGCTGAAGTTTCTCCTTCACTACTCGTACTGTTAAAATTTCAGTGATAAGTAAAGAAAGAGACTTGATAGAACATTAAATTGAACCCGCTATATATGTCTTTGTAAGAATTTTCATGAAGTTTTGGAATCCAATATAGATATGGTAATTCAAATTCATTTTTGGTTGGTAGGAATATTGAAAATATTCAAAACTGACCTTTGATTTTGAAGGATGTCCTCCCTAGAAAGCGAGCTATTGGTATAAGTTGGATTACCACAAGTAAAATTAAATCCCGGTTCCGGTGTAAAGACGAATAATCCCATCGAATAATGCAAACCGGGGGATACAGCGAAAAATGACCCCCGGTCATTCAAAAAAACCCTTTTGTCCGTAGAAAAATCACCACCCTACAAATTTGTAAGAAAAATGACGTAGAAAAATGACTCCCTGTGGATTAAAGCTGAAATTTTTAGGGGGCAAAAAAAAAAAATTAGATAAAGAAGCATATTGGCCAAAATGCTCACCTGAGCTTATGTGGAATAAATTGATTATATGTTGATCTCATAACATACGATTTTAGCTTTATTCTAAGATCAATGCAATGACTCAGAATCTAAAGGAGTAGAGATTTATCGAGCCTAAAGGATTAGGTAAACATTGTTTTTCTATGGTGGAAATCATCGTACTGACAGAAAAAAAAATCAGCAGTATCATATATTATTATATCCTCCGCTTGAAAAGGGGAGGGTATACAATGATCGGGATGTCCGTCCGTCCGTCTGTTACGCTTTGGGGTATTCATTTGTAATCCGCAACTCCTTATATATATAAGAAGATGTGTTTGTGAAACAGCTATGCCCCTGTATGCCAACATATATAGCGAAGATTAAACTTTTCGTAAATGCAATTTAAATATAATGGTACCCAAAGTATGCGGGTTAGTAAAGGCAGCACACAGATCACAATTCGGCGAATTTAGACTTTTTTTTATTAATATGTAACACTAATAAATCGGAAAAGTCATGGATAAATCTTTGCTATTATTATGCATTCTATAGACTTCATTGGGACTTAAACTACAGAAAGCACTTCACCACGACGTCACCACGTGACGTCTATAATGAGAAAAAATGCCTTAATGAAAAAGTGAAAAGTTCAACACTACCCCGGGACTAATTAATTTCAGTTTGTAATAATAGTTATGTAAAAACAGCTCTGTGCCATGAAAAGTGCTGCTAGAATCCTACTGTCTTATTACAGAAATAATTATCCAATACTTTCGGACGAAACCTTTCCAAAATATTTACACTTTGTTCATAAGATCGGAAAAATTGCATCTATTCCCGTAAACCATACGATTCTAGCAGCACTTTCCAAAATCAATAGACTAAGAACTTTAGATAGAAACAAAAATTAAATTTCAAAGTGTGCGGCGTAGTGTTAAACTTTGCATCTTTTTTGTTACGAACGAAAGAGGAAAGGCTGATCTGCAAGTAAACACCCTGCCTGTTTTTTTATGAAGAAATTGTAGAAATATATGAGCATACCTTATTAATAAGCTTTATTCCCACATGAATCGCACATATTATTTCCTATCTAGCTTGTAACACGAGCTTTGATTGGTTACAAAGTCGGGTGTAAAATCCGACTTGAGCCGGGAGTAAA